GGTGTGTGTATACAAACTGATATTGAGAAACACATTGATTTACACATTATTCCAAACATCTTAACATTTGGCCCAAAAAATGACACAAAAACTCACAATGTTGAAGATAAAAATTAATTGATTTATTATTGAATTAAAATCACTGTCTGCATGCTTGATGACCGCTTGCAAATATTTTAATTATGAGGATTGTTTACGCCTCACCGGAGCATGTTGCATGTCAAGTTTGCATTGCGTGTAAAAGCTTACGTAAAATAATAAAACAAAAAAATAGTGCAAAAAGAAAGTTACCAAGAGTATATAGGCTAATTATCGTCTATTTTTCCCTGAACAGCGTGGCAAACAGCCGAGTTTCTACTTCATGAATCGCTCTGAAATCGTCGCCATGATTAAGGAAGTCACAGCTGATCCCGAGTGAGTTGCTCGTCGTACGTCTGGCACCTGAAGATGAAGCCCGTGTTATCGTACGTGGAGTGCCTCTATCATCGTACTTTACAAAAAAAAATTGAAAAAAAAGAAAAAAAATGATTAATAAGTAAATAAGTACATAAAGAATAGATATATTTCTTTATTTTTTTCTAATTTTATTATAGATTATCATCGTTCACATTTGGTACTTCTATGGACGCGTTTGTTAACCGAAACGTGTTCTTAGATTCGAAACGATAACTGAAATGAAGTCGCCATGTTTTGTGAACAGTTATTTCATGAAAGTAATTTTCCCTTTGAGATAGCCCGGGAAATTGTCTTGGAAACAAGCAAACAAAAATACTCGAATAAAATTACATATTCCTCAATATTCAACAACGCAAATTATTTATCAATGAAATGTGTATGGTTCGTTTGTCGCGCTTGTGACGTCATAACAAAGGACGGAATAATATCGTATTTTCATCAAATTCCAATAATATAAAAGCATCATTAGTTGAATGCAGTTAATACTACAAACACTGAAAATTTATTAAGACTTCACTTGATACAGGTACCAATGATTATATTTTTTAAGATAAAAAAGTAATGATTCTTATTTTGAGTATCCCTGAAAAAACACACATTCTTTAGTACTCGTATGGTTTTCGCTTCATGAGAATATATTCAAGAATCAGTTCATATTGATCTTAATGTGATTAAATCAGACGAGCGTTTTATTTCAAATATTGTTATAGTTACCCCACTCCTGTTTTACCTATTTAGGAAACAAGGCAGGTATGAGCTCTTAATTAAGACTTGTGGATTGTAATATTAATATAGCATATAGAGCAGTTCAATAGTGACTTGTATAAGTCACAAGTGAAAGATAAGAGTAAAAAATTTAGTCATAAGAAGTATAGGGAAAAAATAATCCTACCCATTTTCTATCATATGTGCCCATCCCTTTGAAGAAAATGGGTATGCTCTAGGGTAAACTTCAGCAAACTTCGAGATATCTCGGCTAGCTGAACAAGATTCCTAATCACTGTGATAAATTTTGGTGTGAGTTCAAACATTTCCTAGCGTAGGTCATGAAAATGCTGATGTCTAAGATATAAGATAGCGAAGTTAGTGGCTTTAGGTGTCGGAAAATGGTATGGGGAGATACCACACACATACATATTGATTCAAAGGTATATACACGTATACAATGTTGTATATTTTGAATATATATATACATGAGTGGTGTGAGTGACTCATACACACACAAACACACACACACGCACGCGCGCGCGCACACACACACACACACGTCGAAAACTAATTACACACATTCAGCACTGTATATTGTGTACATGCATACATACACGAGATAAAGGATCTTTTTTCTTCAAAAAACAAAAACAACACGAGTAAAAGAAAATTAAAAAGTAGTGATAGACAGGTCAGTTGGTCATAGAAAACGAGGAAGTAAGGTCGTGCCAAGCAAGGTCATTGAGTTCATGGGGAGCTTTTTTGACCTAGCATGGTTTAGGTATCTAACAAATAGATAATTTACTTTTTTATGTAAACTGTATAATATTTTCTTTCTTTTCTGTGGGTAAGTTACAAGATATTTATGTATTTTTAGTGAATTTTTCTTTGTATTCTTGTGTATTTAGTTATCAATATAAAACAGTATCCCCTTCAAAGGTAATGAAATATGCCTTAATAAAATACATAGGAATAGAAGATATGTAAACAAAAAATAAAATCATTCCATGATTTCACCAACATCACTTCAATAATATTTTTGTAAAAATTAATAACAATATAAAAATATGTGTATTATAATGCTATGTTGTGAAATAAAATCATGGGCTGTATTATTCCTTTTATTTAATGTTATCCAGTTAATTTCCATCAAAAAAGTTCTAAAACTACACAAACAAACCCATGTGATACCCATATAACTTATCAGTTAATGTATACTAAACACGAAATAATTGAAATAAAGTTTGGTGTGTGTGTGTGTGTGTGTGTGTGTGTGTGTGTGTGTGTGTGTGTGTGTGTGTGTGT